AGCCACTGAATCGGACGTTGATCTGCCTCCACAAAGGCCAATCCTGGGAAGAAGGACGGTATATTCCAAAATGGCAGTAACCTGCCCCGCTGTAATAATGATGCAGTGAAGTAAACGTAACAAGAGGAAACAAACAAAAAAAAATGGAAGGCCCAGTCATGGCGGCGCCCATGTGCACAGCTGCTGCAAAGCGTCTACATAGCGCTCGCTCCAGCCGAGAACAAGTCGTCTGGTTCTTGCGCAGGAGGTGCAATGACGTCAGGACTACGCCGCGTTCTGATTGGCTTTGATTGAAAGGATAGTGGGCAGACCTTAATGCCAGATGCTTTGAGGTCTATACCCACTATTTTTTTCAATCAGCCAATAAGAGCTCGGCGTTCTGACACAATCGCAACCCCAGTGCAGAAAGCAGACGGACTTGCGCTCCGCATAGCCTTTTTTTTTTTTTTTTTTTTTTGTGCGGCCAACGTGGCAGGACCATTATACGAGGAAGACCCGCCACGGCTTTAGGGACAAGAAAAGGCAACACTCGGAATCGCGCGTGTTCGCAGCTGCTGCAGAACTGTCAAAGAATTCTACGGCGTGTGTGCGCCTCTGGAAGACGCGTGTTTGCGCAGCCGACCGCCGCTCGTGTTGTAAGCAACGCTGCCATTTATTTCGTTCGTTTCTTTCGTGGATCCACGCCGGACTTTAAAATGTTGCCGAACAAAAACGAAACAAAGAAAATAATCGAAACCCACTATAAATGTTCATTGAAAGTGGAGAATTACGCAACCGTATGACATTGTTCCCAGAGGGGAAAAAAAAATTCAGTTTTTCTAACTCGTTTATGTAGCTTACGTCCGGCGTTTATTACTTTTTTCAAGTCGTGTCTGACTTTTTGTTTTTGTGTGTGTGTGTGTGTTTTTAATCAAACTGGCAGGTGGCATGATAGTGTTGAAAAAGCAACGTTGTTTTATTGTTGTTCTAAAAAAAAAAAAAAAAAAAAAAAACGAGTTCCACGAAGAGAATAGTTTTACATGCATCGGTGGGTGTCCTATTAATGGGCCTTCCGTCGTACAGAATAGAGAATAACAAAATGGTCCCGAACAAATGGATCGCAAAAAGACAAACACATCCACAACGTCGCTTTAACCTTTTTTTTTTTTTCGTACATTTCATTTCAAGATTTTGTTTAGTCTGATAAGGTGAGTATCTTATTCCTACGTTCTGAAAGACTGTCTTTGACTGCTTGACGAATGCACTTGGGACGACATACGCGATTACAGAGAGACAACACTTATTGCTTGCGCCGCGTCTGTCATGTAGCGTTTTAAGTTCCTTTTTCTTTTTACCTAGAACTACGTCTTCCTCCGCGCTTAGGAGGGGGTGCAAAGTTGGAAGGTCGACGTCACAAAAACTTGGTCACGGAAGTGACGTCAAACAGATAACACCGGAGCGCCGCGCGCCCTTTCTTATATGCTGGCTTGCTCGCTTCAACGCGACGCCCTCCTGTCTCATTGAAAAGGCGACAGACGCCACGGGTATTCGTTTCTTGTGCACAACATCGTCAAGCGGCAGGACCCCGTGGACGTTTTCTTTCAGCTGAGGCCGTAGTTCTACGGAAATTTATACAGCGTAGGAAACCTACGCACCGACCCATTTGTTTTGTTTTGCTTCAAATCGATATATATTAAAGCATCAGGGCACAACAACCGATCGGGACTCAAACCCAGACTGAAAATGATAAAGGACAGCTGAAGCATGATTCCGCCGTTTGAAATGTATTTCTGGTTTGATTGGTGTAAATTAAGCAGGGAGGCAAGCAGAAAACGCACTACTCAGTAAGACAACTGTATACTGCAACCACGGCTGCAATAAAAGAGCAGCGTGATTATGAACTAATGTGGCGATGCAGGCGAGTTGGTTATGCATGTTGAAAGTAGTGAAAGCGCACAATAAAGACGAGTACGAAGACGGAGAGGCAAACAGGACGAGCGCTGACTATCAACTGAATTTTTTATTGGAAAAAATAAAAACAGCAAAATAAAACCAGGAAAAGCCACAAATACTACAAATGTGACTAGTCATCAATGACTCGGCCACCACACGTGTCAATAAAGTCCACTTCCTTTCTGTGAAGGAAAAGTGAGGGTTGACTGATACACTTATCAGGACATTCCTTCTTTATCATATAAGCCTCCAGTACCTCCCTCGCCACCTTTTCTTTACCTCTCCCAACGATTGTAGTGCCTTGGAAGTTGGGAATGCAGCGGCAATCTCTGCAATGTATGTGTAAATGGGCTCCTGTTGTTGAACGCAGTGATAAAGCATGTTCGCGCAACCGTTCATTCAAGCACCTTCCGGTCTGGCCTATATAAACCTTGCCGCAGCCCAATGGAATTTTATAGACCACGCCCACCGCACATTCCACGTATTTGTTTACGTGCTTCACTGTGCATTGCCGCTTATCTTTGTTTTTTTCTTTTATCCTCGGACATAGTTGAGCCAGTTTACGTGGTGCTGAGAATACCAGAGGTACCTCGAACCTTTCCGCTACTTTTTTTATATTGTGTGACACCCTGTGTAAGTATGGCATCACGTGGGGTCTTGCTCTCTTTTTTTGCTTGTCCTTTTGGCTTTTGCCCCTGAACTTCTTCAGAAGTTTTTCAGCCACTGCGAGCATAAGGGAAGTAGGATACCCTGCAGTTCCAAGTCTCTTGACCTGACTACAGAGGCTGTCGTGCATGGCATGGTGACATGACTTTTCCTTCACAAAAAGGAAGTGGACTTTATTGACACGTGTGGTGGCCGAGTCATTGATGACTAGTCACATTTGTAGTATTTGTGGCTTTTCCTGGTTTTATTTTGCTGTTTCTATTTTTTCCAATAAAAATTCAGTTGATAGTCAGCGCTCGTCCTGTTTGCCTCTCCGTCTTCGTATTCGTCTTTATTCTGCGCTTTCACTACTTTCAACGTGCTTATGAAGATGCACTCCTGAATCTTCAGCGTGCGTCCACTTCCTAGTAGAAGACTCGCTTTGGCGTCACATCCTCTGGACTGCTAACTCTGGAAGAAGAAATCTGAAATTACTGACTGATAACTAAATAAGTATAGATGTTCAACTTAAGTGCACACTAAAACCCGTTCAAACACTTGCAACAGAGTACGACCAAGTGAGACAAGACCGATCCTAAGCTTTTTGCGACGCGTAAAACCAGATACGCAACCAGACGTGGCTGGTTGCTGTTTCGGCCAACGTTCACAAGAAGCAAGATATTTTGAAATTTACTGCCTCTATCCTACATGGTCTTGGACACTGTCTGCGTTCTGCATAGTCTTGGAAGTAACTCGAACTGCGTAGTTGTTAAACATATTTTAGTCCAAGAGCATTAATCCAGCATGTATACTTTGATTGGAATAGATTTATCAACGTTTTGAGGCAAACACAATCGTTCGTTTCCAGGCGCATTTCCCAAATTCGGTTTAATATAGTTATCCGGAACCCTGGTATCACCCTTGTATCTGCCGTAAAATCCATTCAAAACCGAATTTTGGCAATGTGCGGTGATAGTTAGAAAATACTATCTCCGCACAGCCAGCACCACTTTAATAAAAACATCTCTATCCTTGCCCACTCTTTCTCTTCGTCGAAAGATATCCCGTCTATGCTTGTTCCATAAGATTTATCACTGTAACCTATACCCTCCGCCAAGCGCTATTTTCTGAACCATTTTACAGATCATCACGCACTGATCATCAACTAAAAGTTGGGATCCCTCATTGTTGCACATCTACCTTTAATGCCTCTTTTTTGCCTCAAATCTCGATCGACTGGAACCGCCTTCCCGCAGCCATTGTCACAATCACTGCCTCAGATAAATTTAAGATTGCCATTACTAGCCTGTTACATGATGTTTAGTAGTCATTTTGTGTATTTGTGGCCTTTTCATTGATATTGGTTTTATTCCATGTACTGTGCCATTACTAACCTGTTAAATGATGTCTAGTAGTTATTTTGTGTATTTTTGCCTTTTCATTGTTATTTGCATTGCTCCATTTACTGTGCCCACTCCTCTCTGTAATGTCTTTGGGCCCTGAGAGATATAAATGAAATGAAATGAAAACTGGATTAACGGAACAATAATGCTTATCTTCACAAGCCTTTGTTTGTTGAGCAAAATGCTGCATTGGTTTTGTTTTTGTCTACTAAGAAAGTTTTGTCATTTTTATTGTATGATTACTGTTTTACGAAGTATGTGACAAGAACAAGGGTTACGTACCACGACAAACTACATTTTAAAAGTACTTGTACCCCTTTACTCAGGAAGCATGCTCGAAGTACTAAAAATCTCATGGGCAAAATGCTGTCTGCTCTCAGTGCCTACTGTAGTCTCTGACAAGATGCGAAAAGCAGAGCGTCCCTTTCAGAGAGTCGGCCTCTATCACGAACTCGTTGCTTTCCATCGTGCTTTGGCTGCGCATGCCTGCTCGAGTCTCACAAGACGCCAAAGCATTGTCGAAGGTAGAAATCTCGCGCTGAAGGTAACTGAAGGACCTCCTTGCTATTCTGGTTCTGACAGTGAAACGAAAGAAGCGCAATCACCCATCAACGTTATTAGATCGACTCACTTACGGAACTGCCCATGGACACTGCTTGGACGAGCAGTACGTACCTCCCTCTTTCCCATGGTCCGCCTCCCGTCGTTCGACGCGCCACCGTTTTGATGACGGCTGCAATGGTAACTGCAGTGCATTCTATGGGATGCATATGTTTCGAAGCACAACGTCTATAGATGGCGCTTCAACACACTCTGCTCTATGAAATACGCAGTGTTAAAACAAAACTCTAGATGGCGCTTCAAACGACGGGAGGCTAAGGCGGCTGGAGGAGTATGAGTCAGTATGAGTTGGGGAGTATCCTCCTTCGCGAGAGTTCCAGAACTGAGCTAATCTAGTAACGTTGACTCGGTTGACAGCCATCGAATTCCTGGGATGATGTGACGTATTCGATGTGGCACCTACTCGATCGGCCTGACTTTCGTTTCCTGGATCTTGCGGAGCTGCTTGTCCCTGATGTAGAGGATGAGCGAGTCCAGGACCGAGAAGAAGGACATCCCGAGCCAGATGCCCACGTAGCCTCCCAGGTAACCGAACACCTCGATGAACTGCCACCAGAACGACAAAATGATCGCACAAACAAGAGCCACTTTGTTAAGACTTCGTCCAGCCGCGTTCACGGACAGTGGCAAGTCGAAAACTTGACTCGGCGTAAGACAACACACTCTAGTCTGGCAGTCTAAAAAAGATTCGTCTGGCGCAGATGCTCTTATGTAGTACTTGACATCGTTCATTTGGCGCATATATCAATCAATCGATCAGCGTTTATTTCAGCTTGAAATACAAACTGAGGGTGGCAAGAAAAAAGCAGTGTCGTCCACTGCTTGACGGGCCTCGCCACCCTTACAAGTCAGCAGTGTAAACGCGGTAAAAAATAATATATATACAAAATTAACAGTACAGACAAAATGAGTACAGAAAAATTATAGAAAAGCGTTCCTAAGGACAGTAGAAGACATATCATTCAAGTGATCACCATAGAGGAGTATTAAAAAACTTAGGCAAGATATATCGCAACATTGTAAAGCCATAGTTCGTTCTACATCTAGGTAAAATAAAGGTGCATTTTTCCCTGGTTGCATAAGGTGTATTGTGGGGCACAGTAGAAACAATACGTGAAAGAAAATTATCATTTTTTGCTATTATATTTTTGTAAAAACACGCGAATCTATATTCAAATAAATTATATACAGGCACAATTTTAAACTGTAAGTAAGCCTGCCCGGTTGGGGAATTATATGGAGCTTTTGTAATAGCACGTAGCATTTTCTTTTGCAAGATCAGAAGCTTCTGAATATTGGATGTTGTGGTATTACCCCAGGCAAGAAAACAATAGCTTAAGTACGAATAAAAGAAATCGTAATACAAAGTAAGTTTAGTGTTTTCAGGTAGAACATGCTTATTACGTGAGGTGATTCCAACAACCTTGGAAAGGGCAAGACAAACCTCATTTATGTGGGCGTCCCATGTCGTTGCAGTAAAACTTACATTGAGAGATCTAAACCTTTCTACGTACTCGATAACGGTGTCACTCAAAACTAAAGGCGGTGGGTGCATTACAAGTTTTCCTTTAGGACGAAATATTACGGCTTTAGTTTTCCCTTTGTTTATTTTCAATGAGTTCACTAATGACCACCGTGCTAATAATGTCAATACTCGGTTAGCGGTGCCAGTTAGTTCTTCAACGTCAGAGGAGGAAAAGAAAAGGCTTGTATCGTCAGCATAAATAACGTATTTTGCAAGAGTACTAATATTGGAAATGTCATTTATATATATTTAACAAGGGTGGTACAAGGATGCTACCCTGAGGGACACCACTAAACATTTAAAGGGAATCGGAGCGAGAATGATTTATGGCAACATATTGTAACCGCGAGCTTAAATATGACTTTATAAGGTTGAGGGCGTGTCCTCGTACGCCGTAATGCTCGAGCTTAGCGAAAAGTATTTTATGATTTAGAGTATCGAACGCTTTACTAAAGTCAATAAAAATACCAAGAGTAAGACGTTGTGATTCAAAACTGTTCAAAATATATTCTTTTTGGGCAAGCAAGGCATGTTCCGTTGATCTATTTTTAGTAAACCCATACTGGCAATCGGATATTACAGAATGCTTTAAGAAGAGACCATTGAGGCGGCAATGAATTATTCGTTCTAACCCTTCAGCAAAAAACAAAAGTATAGATATTGGTCTATAGTTACCGAAGTCGTTCTTATTTCCTTTTTTATAAATTACGGCTACTCTAGCTAGCTGCATAGCTGTTGGAAAGTGTCCCGTCATGAGCGCTACATTATAAATATGTGTCAGGCATGGTGTAATTATTTGCAAAACATATTTTACTGGGTGACTTTGTATATTATGGGAGTCAAGGCTATTCGTATCTTTTAAACTTTTGCAAATTGAAAAAAAAACCTCAAGCTCGTCAGTCGGTTCAAAGAATATTGATTCCGCCAACCTATCACTTAGAAAACCAAAAATGTCGGAATTGTAGTGACTGTCACCTACAGTCGAACAAAAGTAATTGAATGCTGTAGCGAGATCTGAACCCGATAGCTCAGTTCCACTAACCGTTAAGCTTGTGATCACTTGGGTATGTCTATTCAGGAGCAAAATTAGAAGCCTCCATTTTCCCTTGAGATTACTTGAAAACTGGTGACCAAAGAAATTATTATAATACATGTTTCTCGCCGATTTCATTTCCCTGTTTAGTCGGTTGCGTAAGGACTTATATTCTGCTAGCACGGTAGGATTTTTGTTTTTAATAAACGTTGCAAATAATTTGTATTTCTTCTTAACGAGTCTAATTAAACGTCTGGTCATCCATTGTTTACGCGCACTTTTGAATGGTTTTATTTCTACAGTTATATTCATTATATACGGATGTGAAGAGCTCTAGAAACTTGTTAAAAGCATCATCTGCAGCGGTCTCATTGTAAATAGGGCTCCAATCCATTAAGGAAATACGGTTCTTAAATAGGTCGAGCCTTTCTTGAGATATTAGCTGACGTCTCAATTTAGCGATATCGTTCGAACGAATTGTTTTTTTCTATCCGCAAGAAAACAGGTAAGTGATCGCTAATATCGGCGGCAATGCAACCGGAAAAGAATGCGTTGTCATTATTAGTTATAATTAAATCTAAAGTAGAAACAGAAGAAGCTGCAATGCGTGTTGGACAGTTAATAACCTTTTGAAACCCCGTTGAGTGAAGTGTGAGTAACATTTGCTGCTGCATTGGGCTGTTCGTACCCATATCAATATTAAAATCGCCAGCTATGATAGACAAATAATTTTCAGAACTAAATAAAAACGTTTCACGTTCAAATATTTCCCAAAATTCGCCGAAGTTCCCATGAGGTGGTCGATAGACAACCGAAAATATGTTACGTCCAGATTTCACGGTAAGCATTTCAATATCACAGTTAGAAAAAGAGTGGTCAGATAGCATATCACAGACATAGCTACTTTTAATCAGTATAGCAACGCCCCCGCCACGCTTTTCTGTGCGATTGATAAAAAAAGAATTATTATAATTAAGTGTATCTCACGGGGCCCTTGTACTTCGCTCCAAGTCAGAGCGTAGCCGACGGTCGATGAGGCCCATTGAGCCGCGCCAAAAGTGCAAAGTCATGAAGTTCGATGTTGTTATCTGTGTGTGTGTGTGTGTGTGTGTGTGTGTGTGTTTGTGTGTGTGTGTGTGTGCGCGCGCGCGCGCGCGTTCGCGGATTAAATTAATCTAGCACAAAGACTACACTGTGACCTTGCGCCTGCAATCTACGTCTGTATTTGTTCTTGAAAACGTCTTATATGAATGTCTATATCTTAGATACAAGCAGAATGATGCTTTTGTGGGCCAGCTCTTTATCTTGTATCACTTGATCTGAAAATAAAAATTGAATTGAATTGAATAGGATTCGGTATGTGACGTCAAGTCATCTTTGGACAGATGTTGGGCGTCAATGTTCGTATAAGTCCTCGTGCTTTCGACTGTGTTTTTACATCAGGTGAAACACAGTACAGAACGTAAATGATTAACAACTTTCTTGTCCAATTTGTTGCTTTAGATAACCAACACCTTATAACTTGTGATGTCCAGCGATAACGTGACGACAATAATCACAAATCTTATATTAAACTTTCAATGATGAGATGGATGTTATCTGCGAGAAAAGTGAGCTCTCTTTATTGTTGCCCGTGACAAGACCTTTGCCTCGCATACTAGACCGAGTGAGGTGATATTGTTTCAGAATTGCACTATAAAGACTTGAGATGTTTACGCGGTATGCTTTGGCTTTGGCCTTCATAGACTGTCGATTCTCAGGTTGGATGGGAAACCGTTTGGCGAGACGTCGTTTCAATTCGACGCCTCCTGCCGTTTGAAACGCGGTGTGATGAAATCATCGTTTGCTAAACTAATAGGAACCAACATATTTGAGGATCGACTTTTGAGGATTCTCACCGTGAACTTCTTGAGATGTTGCAGTATGGTGTGCTTTTCACTGGCGAACAAAAGGTTGATTGTGAACAGCAAGCTGCAACAAAACACAACCGTAAAGGGTTCATCTTTAGCCCCTTTTTTGCGCACACGACACCAAGGTTCGTGCAATGTTGCTCTAAAGGCGTTTGGCAATGTTTTATTTTTATTTGGAAATATTCTTTCGTTGGAGGGCAGATGTGAAACTCTTACCTTTTTGGTTCTTCCTTAGGTTCTTCATCCTCGTAGTCCTTGGGAGAGCATGAGAAGAAGAAAAGACATTGGTCCAATCGAAGTTGCCTTGTGCGGAAACAATTAACAGGAAGAATGAAAGAGAAAGAGCAGACCACATATATACCAATAGAAAAATGAAGATCAAACTAAGATGAAAGTCTTCCAATAGTTTGTGTATTCGTGGGACATCATACAACAATAGGTATCACAAAGCAGCAATATGAGAAGACGGATTAGTTGTCGATTGGGGTACGAGACAGTCGCCGAAGCACAAATCAAGGAGTATCAAGCTTGGACTTAATAAATCATCCTACGTTTCTCAAGCTGCCATTCATTATAGTTAGGTTTCAATATTCGTAAGATTTGTTTCTTGACACATTTTATCTTATTGAAACAGCTTGAGGTGAAGTAGCGTCTAAATGTCCCGGCTGTTAGATAAAAAAAAAAAAAATAGGGGGTATTGGAGGGCCGTCATATTATTTTATTGAAGTTGCTGGGTGTCTTTTCATACCTCGTCTGTGTCTGCATTTTCTTTTTGACCTTGTGCCGTGATCTGAACCTCGTAGGTGATCTCTCTGGAAACGAAAAAAAAAAAAGAAAAGCTGCACACGTATATATACAGGGTGTTTCAGAGAACGCAGGCCAAATCGCTCCTGCGAAAACTACTAATCGCAACGAAAAAAGGCTTGTGGCGTTTTGGTCCTGGGCCAGGGGCCCTTAGGAAAATTATTAAAGTCCGGGATAATTAAGTTGTTAATTATTTTTGCGTAATTAACTTTTTTAATGTTGTGTCATGGTTTAAATTAAAAAATTGCTCAGCATCATCGAAAAACACCAAATGAACAAGTTGCAAAACGATAGAAGGCACGCGAAGCATTTTACAGGTTCCTGAAAAACAGTAAAAAATCGACGGGTTTTTAATGGTGAATTCGGGTGGTCGCCTCTCTCCTCTGACCTCGATTCAGCAGAGCGCCCCCTCCTCGCCGCCACAGCTACTCGGGATCCTTTTCAGCCGATCACAACTGCTGGCTTCAGAGCGCTCCGAGATTCTCGGACCAATCACGGAAGTAAAATTTCTTGACATTGGTAATGCATTAAAAACAACGCGATCTTACAGCGTACGGTGGACGATTGAGGAAAACTTACGCTCGCAACGTGATAAAATAACGGTTGTGGCGTAAATTGTTTTACTCATCGGCATGTAAAAAAAAAGAAAACAACAGTATGCGAATTGATTTTTGCAGAACGGAACGAAAGCCAACGCTTGGAAACAGTTGTCAACTCATCGCGTTTTCGACAGTGAACGCGCTGCGATAGCGGACATCCATACGACTGAGCAGGCGAATATAAAATGGTTAATAAACCACATTTTTCTCACGGCGAAATATCGTGCGAGCATCGCCATGTGACACAAATCACAGTGCATTATATTCGGCTCTCCCTTTATTTTACAACACAAACCTTTGAACGCACTTTTACCAAACCTCAAAATTTTCTTGAAGCGACTACAAAATCCGGTAAAACAGCGACGAGCTCCGCGAGCTGTTTCGTCGTCGGTTAGGCTTAGCGGATTCACCGCTGTGAGATGAACGATCTTGTGAAAGCACTGGGAACACTTCACACGTCGGCTTTTCCTGTCACGGTCGCAAACGAATGTCGTCCCGTCCGTTGTAATCCTCGCACCGTCGAATGCACAAGCACTTTGTAGAACCACACATCAATCACCGTCATGCCGGACCCCGCACACTACCACTATGGTGGCTACTACCACAGACCACTGCCGGCCATCGTCAACAAAACCACGTGATCACCGTCCAGCTACCACGTGACGCCTGCGCCGCTCCGCACTCCGACGGCTAGAGACGGAGTGCCAGAGAGCGCTCCGAGAGGGAGAGGCGCCCTCGGAATGAACCACCCGATCAGGCCACAGCACTCTCTTTCAACCACCCGATTTCGCGCGATCTGGAAAAAGCGTTCGAGAGCGCGCAGAAAGAACCACGCGAATTCGCCATGTGTTTCGGTTTGCTATCGGAGCGCATCTCAGCCCCGGCGGCACCGCGCCCCGTGGAGAGATAGCGCAACCTACCTCTGCTGCGCTGTCATCGCGCGACGCAGCACATATATATGTATATAACACTTTTATTGGCGCTGTTAGCGCAGCCGTCACCATCTCATCATGACACGGTGCTCTGGTGCTAGAGCATTCGCTCTGTGACGCGACGAGAGAGAGAGAAGAACTGACCTCCCAGGTCAGTTCTTCTTTCTTTCGTCGCGTCTCTCGTTATATATATATGGGTGGCAAAATCGTGCAGGCAAAAAGGGTCGAATTTTTAATTTCGCTGAAAAAAATATATGTTACGGCGTCGTTTCCAAAAACGCAGTAGCCACAAATCGCAAGTTCGTCGGATTTTTCGTTCTCGACGCCCCCGCGGTGAATTGTTGACGAACTTTGACAATTAAATACTGGCGATCTACTTGGGTTACATCATTATTTATGTCTATAGAGAGCCCAAAACACGCTCCTTATAGATATAATAAAATCACTCAGCTGCATCAGGTTTCCTTTGCGGGGCGTTTACGTTAATGTTATGCAAAAACCAAAAAATACCCATTTTAAAACCGATTTTCTCAGAAAACCCATTTTTTTTTCTGTAAAAATGTAGATATGATAGTGGTCTACTAAAAAATCAAGTCAAGAAAGTGTGTATTTTGTTTTGTATGTTCTATATTTTAGCCTCAATATCGGAAAAAGCCGCCTTCGTTTTGCAAGACCTAGGTTAGACAAAGCAACCCGTGCGTTTCTATGAATTGTGAAAAAGTTTTCTTGAATTTTCGTCTGCGTTTTTTAATCAATTATAAACGTATTTAGTGGTATTGAATAGTTATTTATGTTTTGATAAGAGCGGGAAACCACGAGAAACATATCTAACCAAACCAGCAGGCCTAGTAGATCTTCAATACCCAAGAGGCACAGACGCTGTATTGTTTTGATTTATAAACCTTTCATTGTAAACTAGCATGAGTAGCTATTAGATGTCATATTACTAAGACATAGTAAGTCACCACATCATTGATATATTATATACAATTCTTTCCGAAACCAGACGCTACGGTTTGTTTACCGCACATCGCACAGATCCCCAGGGAATGTCCCTTTCACTTCCGTAATGACACAAAAGTGATGACGCAGAAACGGTCCGAAACACGCGGAGAGAGTGTCGTGGAAAAGGTTAGGGAATAAAAATAGGTAAATAAGAATAACATTACCCAATTAACTCCGATCTTAATGAAAATTGCGTTAAAAAAAAAAAAAAAGATTTAGGTTCGAGTGGTGGCAAGGCGATAGGCCCACGCCTGGTGGAGAGTCAGACAAAAAAGTCAACGACACGTAAAGCTAGAAAAAAAAAAAAAAAAAAAAAAAAAAAGAAAAAAAAACGAACACGCACAGGTGTAATAAAGACGGAAAAACTCAGCCGCACATGGCGAAAACAAAAACCAACTCCCCCGGGCATTCCCTAAACGGGACATAACTGAATGCGTGCGAACACGCTCTCTACAGCACCGTCAGGCCGCTACGCCATGACGAAATAAACTCCACAACTAAACAATGCTAACAAACAGTTAGTCATCAAACGTTAAAAAAAAAAAAAAAAAAAAATCGTTCGGCGAAACCGCATCCGAAGAACAAAGTTCAGCGGGGCGAAGAAACACGCACGAAATAAAACAAAAAAAGTTTTAACTGACCGACGCCGAGTCCAGTCCGACGACACTGAAGCCTGGCAGGATGAAGGTGTCCAGATGATGCTCGAATCTGTTCTTCACTCTATTACGCACATCCATGACGGCTGTGCGGAACAGTGGCTGTGCGGAACAAAGTGAAGAATAGATTCGAGCAACGATGCGCGAGAAGGTAACCGAGACGTAACATGCCTCGAGCCTCATATCGGGAGAGGAGCTTTCGAGGTAGTTACTGCAGTTACTCAAACTTTCTCTTTCCCCTTCCCTTTTTCAAAAGAAAACGTCAGCCGGCGCTAACTTTTCATCTCGGGAGAAGGCCACTCTTCACAATCGGTTATAGTTGACAAGGAGGCTGACTTCGACCCAACTAGTCTCCGGGCAGAATAAACACAAGTATATTTACCAACACGCTCGTTTTTAATGTCAGTCTCCGGGCTTTGCTGTTTCCAAAAGAGATAACCCTTCGGTGCTATCGGATCTCCGCGGAGAGAGATGTTCGCCGCGTCAACGACACATTCGTACCATTTCACTCCTCGCGACACAGGGTGCGCTGCTCGCTTTACTGTCACGGGCCGTCCTATCTAACACAACGAGCGTGAAAGGTCGTGGTCATCTGCTGGTTCCGAAAGGACGGGACGTTCATATAGGCCAATGAAGGCCCCGAATCAATACGACGTCTGCCGAGTTCTACACATTAAAAATTTACGACGCCTGTTGGTCTGTTTAGAAGTGTTGCATTCTCCCTTGAACTCCTCCAATGTAGCTTTCCGCCTATGATGAAATTTAAATGATCAATAAATATAACAGGGTGGAATTACTGTATTTCATTTTTATGTGGGAACGTTTAAAAAAAGCAAAAAAATATTTCACCGTTTGTGTAAGCGCGCAATTCGCAAGTCCATTTCGCGCCGTAAAAACACGATTTTGTACGATATTGATGCTTAAATATAGAACATACAAACAAAATGCACACTTTCTCGACCTGCTTTTCGTGTAGACAACTATCATATCGACATTTTAACAAAAAAGAATAAAAAATGCTTTTTTTTTTCGAAAATCGATTTCAAAATAGGTACTTTTTCGTTTTGGCATAACATTAACGTAAACGTCCCGCAAAGGATATTTAAAAAAGCAGAGTCATTGTATTATATATATATAAAGAGCGTGTTGTGGGCTCTCCATGGACATAAGAAATATTATTGTAACCCACATAAATTGCCAGTTTTGATTGTCAAAGTTCGTTAACAATTGACCGAGGGGGCGTTTTTGACATTTTTACAGAAAAAAACCAAAAAGCCTAAAAGTATTTTATGGTATTCGAGCCTTTTAAATGTATTCACATAGTACTTGCAAAAAGTTAATATAATGTGGACTGAAAATCCACTGCGGGAGATCGAGCGAAACATCCGACCCACGACGAATGTGAAAAACACTGTTTTCCGCCGCGGCTTCTTTGAAAATTCGTAAGTCGAGGACAAAAAATCCGACGAACTTGCGGTTTGTGGCTACTGCGGTTTTAGAGACGACGGCATAACATATACTTTTTTCGGCGAAATTAAAAATTCGAACCTTTTTGTTTGCACGATTTGAGATGTACCCGCATATATATATATATATATATATATATATATATATATATATATATATACGCAACGCAATAACCACGTTCCTTGTCCAGCCTACTCTTTCGAGAAGTCGGATACACACAGAACATGGAAGTCTACGGAGACACCCCCACTCAAAATAACGCGGGATTCCGACGTAACTTTAGAATGGACGTCAAATCAAACGGCAGCGCTTTCTTACATTTTTTTTTCTTCACGCCTCTTGATATTGTAAAGCACAGGAAATAGTATTTCTCATCTGTATTTTTATTGCTTTGTAAAACGGTGTTTGAAGTGGTTATGATCAAATAGTGCTGCATCACTGGTAACCTTTGCAGGGCAATGAAAAGCTCCGACATACCGGCTATTTTTGTATTGCTGGAGAGTTTGGCGGCTCTATATTCGAATCGATACAATATTCGCGCACCCCTGCTTTTTCAAAATAATGCCTAAAATTCTCATTAAGAGTACTTGGCGAAGGAAGGCGCGTGAAGAAAAAAATTACATAATAAATTCATAAAAAAAACTAACTGGCAGTAAGATGTCTCGGACCTGTACATGAAAAGGTTATCGGTGTCCGGGAAAAATCTTACGAAATAAAGTTTCGGCTTCTTGTGCGGAAGGAATGAGAACCATCGTTTTTATGGAGAAGTGCTAGCTTCTGGAGAACCGAATCGATATATGTTTTGCAGACCGATGAATGCTAGTTGTTAAACCCACAGTTACTTCCTCTTCGCAAGCCCCAGAAATAGATCGAAGCACGTAAAAAAATAACTTTTGTACTACTCTGAATTTTATTTCTTGAGATGGTGAGCCAACAATGAAAACGATGTCTTACTTGCAGGGCTGTCGGCACTTCTTTAGGCACTTCTTGGTGAACTTCTGCGAGACGTCCACTTTTGCACAGGATTCTGCAACACCAACGAGGTTTTCTGTCTTATTAAATGTGTGACATTCTAAATCACGCATATTGCATTACTTGTACAAGAAGTGTGCCATCTTGATTTAAAAATTTTTTGTTGTTGCATATACCAGTTATTTACAGGTATGTACATATGTCCACCTTTTCAACAGGCTCCCCTTCTAGCCGAATGCCCTTGCACCATCTTTGTGGCAGCCTCACCATTCCCTGCAGGAACCACTTTTTGGGAGTGCCTGGACAGCTGCTTCCAGCTTAATAACCCTCGCAGTTTTCTTTTTAATTGCACCGAACAGAGGAGGCTATGGTTATACTCACTGAGGTCTCGGTAAGACCATATACCATGCGCAACCAAACGTCTGACTGGTCATAGAACATGTCAAAAAGATGGCCGAACCCGACCAGACGCCAGTCAATCTCGGCCTCGCGTGAATGCACACGACGCAGTGATTGACCGGCGCGCGGTCGGGTTCGACCGTTTTTCTAACGCGTCGTTCGACCAATCAAAGGTTTGGTCTTGCATAAGTATTACCTGGCCGAGGCTCCATTGGTTATTACCTGTTAATTGACATGAAAAAAAAAGAAAAAAAAAAAAAAAAACTCCTGCGGGGGCAGCATTTCGCGGTCCTTGATAAGCTGGAAGCAGCTGCAGGCGTGGGAGTGAACCATTCCCAAAAAGTAGTCCTAGCAGGCCACGAAAGGCTGCCACACAGGTGGTGCGAGAGCGTTCGGCTACAGAGAAAGCCTGTAGAGGAGGTCAACATATGTAGATGCCTCCAAATAACCAGTCCCTGCAGCAAAAAAACAAAAAAAAAAAGAAAAGAAAAAAAAGAGAAAAAAAAAAAGAAGAAAAGAAATTGCAAATTAGTATAGGACGCCCCTTGCACACACTTTCATTTACCGGTGTTTGATTTCAACGCTCAGCAAGTTTGATATGGCACCCAGCAAGTTTAAAATTGTAAATATCTGTTTATTACCACAAATTAAAAAAAAAAATGATTGAACAAATCTTAGATAATTATGTAAATTAGCGCTACGATTGGCCCCCAAACTTATGTCCACCTGGTCGTATAACTCACCTGCACAAACCGCACTGAGGTCTCTTCGAATTAAAATCAAACACCCGGCTTAGCTTCGAGCTTATTGTCATTCGAACGCCGGCGTCCGGCGTCTGGCGTTCGACCGCGTTCGAGCAGTGAGGTGAGACAAAGGCAGCTAGGCTCGGCGTCCACCCGCCAATCGTTCCAACCAGAGCTCGGCGTTCAAAAATCCCCGCGCGCTCTCGTCTATGTGGAGCGCAAGTTCGTCTGCTTCTTTTGCAGGCGTTCTGGTATGGTGCCTCGATTGCGTCTTCGACTGGTGTGTTTAGCGCCCTATCCCGCCCATACATCAAAAGTGGTCCCAATGTGGCAACAAATGACGCGAGTGTCATGCTGTTGCCTGTTGCGATCCTGGCGGTTGGCCGTAGAAATGCTGGCGAAAAGCACGAGCGAACGCGAGTGTCGCTGTCGTCGCGGCGTCGCTTTAGGCGTCCCAACTTCCGGCTGCCCTAGCTTCCGTGGACTGTCACAATGGAAAGCGACCTGCAGCAGAACAGGCGTCTGCCATTTTTATCACAACTGTTGGGACGCCGCCAGGGTCGCGACCGGCGACAGCATGACACTTTTATGACGTCATCAGGCGGAAATCAAGGGACCACTTTTTTGGCCGCGGTAAACACAGCAGTCGGAGACGCGTTCCAGGCACCATAGTTCTGGTGACGTCAAAAAGACGCCGGGCTCTGATTGGCTATGACTAAAAGGATGGTGGGTATACCTCGAGGCAGCTTGCTTTGAGGTCTACCCACTATCCTTCAATCAGAGCCAATCAGAACTCGGTGTCTTTCTGACGTCACCACAACCCAGACGAACTTGCGCTCCACATTCCTCTCTCCCTCCGTTTCTACCCCTACAAGTATAACCAATTAGGCTTGATAATCGACGTTGCATGCCGTCAAATAACGACACCGAAGCACGGCACAGGCTTGAACGAAAAGAAAAAAAATATTGGCAGGGACCTTTATTTCCAGAGTACTAGGATGCACGAAATGCAGTGTTTTATGAACGCTTGCTCACATTTGATTAGAAGCCATTCAAACAGTCGCCTCTGAGAGTAAAGGACATGTGCTGTTTAAATCGCCCGGACTAGACGTTCCGTGAAATGTAACGACGAGTTTAAAAGGGCGATGCAACGATTTTTGTACTCTGCGCAAACACCGCTTAGAACGGATCCCTGACGTGACCTGTGAAACCCCCGTTCGTTTTTCGCCATACGCAATCGAAGTCGCGCAAAAAATGAAAGAAAAAAGGGAAAGCCGTTTACAACTCCCTGTAACGCCGAATTGGAGCGCAGCTCTTGAGGAGGAGGAGGGAAGGGTACTGAGGCGAGGGTAGACCCCTCCTCCTCCTCCTCCCCTCATTCTTTAATATGCTCCGGGGGGTCACCTGACCTCGGGGGGGAGGGGGTCACGTGACCTCGGGGGGAGGGGGGGGGGGTCACGTGACCTCGGGGAGGGGGGCCACGTGACCTGGGGGGGCCACATGATCTCGGGGGTCACGTGACCTGGGAGGTCACGTGGCCTTGGGAGGGGTCACGTGACATCGGGGGTCGCGTGGCCTTGGGGTGACCTTGAGAGGGGTCACGTGACCTTGGGGACACGTGACCTTGGGGGTCACGTGTCCTGGGGGTCACGTGACCTTAGGGTGACCTTGGTTACGCCGACGGCGACGGCGACACCGACGCCGCTCAATACGGAAACGGGCGCCTAAGAGCTGCGCTCTAAAACGATCAGTGTTCATTCGCCCCCGCAATTTGCCGTCAGAACAAGTGGCCACGTGATCCGGAGCCGATTATATGTCGCCAATGTTGATCATAGCCACGCCCTTGGGTTGGCAAGGCACAGGACACGCCCTGAATTCCAGACATTGCTATGGTTCGGCTATTGTCGTCACTGCAGCGATTGGACACGGGCCCCGAATGCTTCTCCAGCTATCGAATATCACGAGCCCAAATCGAGTGCTCACGCAATGCTCGTGTCCAATCTATGAGCCGCATCCAAATATCGTCACCGGGGGATGCTGCGACCCCCACGTTACGTCACCAAGTTTTGCGAAGGAGAGAACGGGAGAAAACACTCGCTTTCATTCTTGAAATTACACCGCAACAAAAGAGGTTTCTTGGTCAATGGCGTTGCGCGCGAGTATCTTTGAGTCCAGCTAGTGAAAGTAAGCTCGTGTAAAGTGAAAAAAATTCCGACTGATAATCGTTGCACTGTTCATTGAATGGGATGGGGCAAGTTCGTGTTAGTCGGACCGTAAGAGGGCAACGAAGGTGGAGGGGGAGGGAGGAGAGAGTGCATGATAGGAAGAGGGAGGGAGGTAATGGGCGGTAGGTGCAGAAGGAGGAGAGAGAAACGTTAATTGGGAGGGAAGAGGGATGGAGAGAGAGAGAGAGGAAAAGGAAGTAGGTGGGGAAGAAGGATGATGAAAAAGAGGGAATAGAGGTTGGTGGGGATAGGGAGGAAGGAAGGGAAGAAGGAAGGGAGGGGAGAGATGGAAGGAGGGAGGAAGGGAGAAAGGAAAAAACGGAGAGAAAGGAAGGGGGAAGGATGGAAAGAGGAATGGAAAGGAGGGAGAAGGGTGGAGGGGTTGGGAGGGGAGAAGTGTAAGTGGTGTCATGTGACGTGAGGTGTATAGGTCACTTGACATCAATCGCCCCGCTAAATTAAGCGGCGACATAGCATTGATGTTTAGGTCACGTGATGCTAAAGACCCTGCTAGATTTAGCAGGGGAAACTACATTCATGTCCATTTCACATTACTGAAAAAAGAAATTCTCGCCAATAGAACAGAAGCATCTTTTCGCCGGATCCGGGAAATATTCAGCAGTTCAAATGTACACAGATACGAGGTCCTTTTGTCGCAGGGTGCTGATGCCCAAGTGAAAGAAAGGCTGCGAACAAGATGTAATATATAAATGAACAACTGGATTGATATATCGGTTGTGTCGGGCGACAGCCTGGGCCATCTAGCTTACGAGCAGTACTGCCGTCATGGCTTCCGCGATTGACACAGTGCTTTTTCTTCGCACACTGGCAATCTCGGAGTTCCTTCTCAACACACGTACCCTGTCAAACCCATAATATTGCTGCGTGCATTTACCTGTCTTGGGAACGTCGCAGATCTTGGATCCGTGGAGGTCTCGGTATGCGTAGCGGCTCGAGATACATCCGCACTTCTTCAGCCAGAGTTCCATGCGGCAGCGCTCGTAGCACAACTGCGCAGGAAGACAGAACACCATTTTTTCTTCAGAATCTAAATTTCAGACGACGGCATGCACGTACGTTTTGCGTCATCATGCCGTAGTACTTCTTGGATCGCTTCATGGCCTCGTAGTTAACGCACTTGGTTTGGTACGGCTTGGGCAGGGCCAGGGTAGTTTGCTGGAAGATGGGAGGGGACAACGGTGACTTCGTTCTTATGGCAAGTGATAAAAGCGGCGTGAACACCAACACGTTACTTATTAACAAGAGTGTCTGTCCACAAGAAGAATACGAGGAGGGATGCCCTGAATAGCGGCCAGCAATGCCTCCCTGGAGTGACGTCAGCACCGAGGTGTTGTCACGGTGTGGCCAATAAGGGGGAAAAAAAAAAGCAATGCGCGATTCATGTTTATGCGGCCGAGACCACGCTCTGACAGAAGGTATTTACAGTCCTCCACCCTTCCCCTTTCGTTATGCTTTACTAAACTAAAATATAAACCCCAAGGGTGCTTCAGTAGCACTGGATGGGTGCAACAGGAGCACCCTCGTGTTTTAGCTCTATGACAAACTGAAAAGCACCCATAGGAGTGTAAAGAAGCCCATGCAAAGGCAAAACATATAATGGAGCCTAAGTGTCGCTAGTCAACGTATACCACGTGACAGCCCAATCTCCGGAACAACCGTGAACGTTACCTGTTCGACGAGGATGATGTAGCGCGAGTGCGGCTCGAAGAAGAGCGAGTGAGCCTGCTCGGCCGAGTTGGTGTCGTGCTCGTGCACCGAGGCATCCGCTCCGAAGGGGTCCACTTCCACCACGCGATCCAGGTCCCAGCCGACGGTAGAGTTCATCTCTGCGCACAAGACCGCAAGGACCTCGCACGGACGACCCACCAAAGCAAGACCGGCAAGTCTAGAGTCATCAAACTAAGCACGAACTTGGCCGGAAGAGCACGAAAAGTAACCGTCTGGAAGCCACACAACTCCAACCGCGCAATGTTTTGCTAAAAGACCTTCTTCAGGACGCCGAAGCCACTGTCTGTCGGCTAAGGGCCGATGCACTGGACCTCGCACCCTGGGGTCAGGTGTGGATATGATGGTCGGTGGCGTCATCTAGGTAGTGTAGACTTGACTAAACAAAAAATGAAACACTACACTTCTCATAGACCATACGAAAAGGCATGGTATACGCTGCAGACATGGTAGCAGAATCATCTGCGGACGCATGTCAGGCATGCCTGAATCATGTTTGCTTCATGTTATACACACATGTGTGCTTGAAACATGTCTGCAAACAGTTTTTGTTTGACCAATGTGAACGAGATTGTCATACAGCGAAGAAACACGTCTCGGACGGCGTCTGCGCAGACCGTCTTTTGCACGGCGTTTGGTTTTTTTTTAAAGCTATATACTTACCGTAATCCCAGGGGTATCGGCATCGCCTGAGGGGATGCGAGTCGTTCTTGATGCGACTGTAGTCCAGCGTGTAGCAGTAGCTGTCGGGGTACCGCACGAAGGACTTGTACCAACTGCGGCAAGCCACGAGCAGTAAACCATTACTCTGCTGTAAAAGAAGTTCTGGGTCAAGTTCTTAACAAAAATGCTCCGAAATCCGAGCGACACCATAAGAAAAATAGATAGACCGCCTTCACATAACAGAACGAGCAAATTACTTGAACGGTTTCGCTTTTTAGACGAAGGCATCATCAATAATATAGAATAACTAAGAGAGAATTATTCACCGTAGAGGCCTATTTATCGGGAAATAAAGTCCACGGTTGATAATAACACAGACACCGGTATTTGAAAAGCTGTTGCGCACCATCCATGTAAAAACTCTAATCTATTTGATAAGGCTGACAACTAATCACGTCTCTGAATAGACAGTCTTTCCTCAAATTGATGCTGCCAATAACCACCTCTCCCGGACAATGACGTAAAAAAAGGATAATATATATATATATATATATATATATATATATATATATATATATATATATATATATATATATATATATATATATATATATATATATATATATATATATATATATTCTTCAATTTCTGAGTCTAAAAGTAAGATTCAATAAACGGCTGCTCAACCAACCCAATTACAATCCTCTGGAGTCTCGTTCACGAAAACAAAACTACCAGTTTGATGCCATTTCAGGTGCGCCGTTTAACGAGGACACTGCAACCGATTTTTATTAGTTCTGTTTGCTGCGTTGGATTTTTAGAAGGTTTCCCTGTTTGTTTTTGGCTTATATTTCCTTTGCACTCCTCGAAACCCATTTGTTCTGATTGATAGTAAAGAGTGTGAATGTACTGAGGCGAGTCGATGAGAGTCGATGAGTCCCGGTTCGGCGCGGTTTGTCACGGAACGGTGGTAACCTTTAGGTGAATCGAAGTCGGATAACTCACACAGGTTCGTTCCACTCGATTTGCACTTATAGCCGCGTCCGACACGTAAATGGCGGAGCGCAGTGACTCTGGAGCCCATTGCGCACGACGATGACCTTTGCTCAGTGACCAGTGTAGTGCGTATGCTCTCTTCACGTGTTTATTGGACACAAGAGATTTCCCCTACAAATGGCTTTTTTCACTAGGGAGCTGTACAAAGTAACCAACCGGAACGAACTTCTCAGGCTAACCCGGTTGTTTTTTTCTGTTCCGCTTTGGGTCCTTTCCCACCATGACAAATTTTGACCGCAGTTTTCTTTTTTTGGCAAGGAAAATGCAAAATTGATCATGCCAGTGGCCACTGACCACATGTCGTGAGGCAGAGATTACATTTTTCTGCCCTTATACAGCGTGCTAGCGTCTCGAGTGTTTCTTTCTGTCCTTCAATGAGCACAGGCCAGCGTGGTTGCGGGTAGCTCTTTTCTACAGCCCATGGCACGCTGCAGGTGTTCGTTGATTCGGAAGTTGAGCAAAGCATAGATCATAAGCGGGAACTCCTGAAAAATGACACCTGCTAGAAACGATTACTCTATTCCAGTGTTGGGCAAGGTACTTTTAAAAAGTAATTGAAGTAAAGTACAACGTAAATAAGAGGCTATGTACTTCAAGTAAAGTAGTTAAGTACACCGGGTGCACTGTACTCGGAGTAAAGTACTATGAACACAATGTACCTTCAAGTACAAGTACTTTCAACACAACCCTACCGAAAAATCCAGTATAACTTTTCACTATCCGGATTACTGAACCGGAAATTCGTTTCTAGAAACCCGAAATCCAGATTGCAACAAAGAAATAATTTTTGAAAACCTAAAGTCCAGATAGAGTCCAGATAGAATCCAGATAGATTTCCGGTTCCATAATCCGGATAGCGAAAAATTATACTGGATTTTTCGGGAGGGAATTCCGTCATGATGCCCTTTCATTCCTCTATACAATGTCCTTCTTATTTTCTTTAACTGGTATGCATTACCCCAAGGGAAATCTGGGGTGCATCAGTTACTTTCGGATATGACGGCGAATATCTGGCAAACTCAAGTGGTTTCAGAGTTGACCAAGCATCGTTTTGTGATACGAATTTAACGAGACCAAATTGGGGAAATGTACTATGAAGTCGGGAGTAGTACACTTTCAGAAAAAGAAAAAAAGTATATTCTCACACCCCTTGTCCCATATATAAGACACCCCAAAACTTCAGTTCAAGTACAAGTACAAGTACTTCAACACGCTGATGTCGAACCAACGGTACCAACTTTCACGAGCGGTTTGATAGCCGTGTGATTCAACTTATTAAAGTATCTAATGCATGTGTTACTGTGTACAAAAGAAAATCTTTTTTTTTTTTGGCTTTACTGCAAAACCTTAGTAGTTTTTATTTTCTGTAGTCTTTGATACGTACTTTAGCTGTTTAACAAGTTAGATCGCACCGTTATTAAGCCCCTCGTAACGGTGGAAGCCGGCTGTTGGCGTCAGTGCGCTATACGTCCAACCGAAGCTCTGGAATGCATTACACGTATATGAGACAAAAGAACGTAAGACGATACCCTTTTTTTAGAGCGTACATTTGGTCGTACTATCCTCGGAAAGTACCAGGAAAACAAATACTTTAAGTCTAAATTACAAGTACACACTCGGAGAATGTACAGGGAGTTTCCGAGAAACGAGAACCGTGTTTTTCGGCCCGGTTAAATAAACTATGCATCGCAGAAAGCTCAAACTAGGTTATACAAGTGTGAGCTCCTTGCTCAAGGAGGCACCTCGACTACACGAACTCTTGCACAGCAGGAACAACGGCAAGAGATAAACCTATGAGCTCGGGCATGTAGGTGTCAGACAGTACCTTTAAAATGAAAGTATTTTCTTATATTCCTGCTATAAAAATCGCCAGGAAAGCAAGAATTGCCGCATGAAGAGATAATTCTATATGCCTGTTGAGCCTAGAGAACTCTGCGACAGGGAGATGATGGTGTGCTTGTTCTCGTTCTATTGAAAAGTGCCAGTACTGTGGTATATAGTGGTGTTTTAAATTTTTTTTTTATAACATCAAGTGTGGACCCAAAGTGCGAATAAAAGCCGAAAAGGGCAAAGAAATGAGCTCACAGGAAGCAAAAGTCACAAGGTTTTTTGTCTAAATAATCTCTAGGGCGTCGGACAGTCGCCGGCTGCTTTCCAACGTGAAACATCAATGCTGTTTGTTTGCCTTTTTTTTACTTCCAATATAGCAATATTGCTCCCCCTCTGTTGGCCCTCGTTCTTTTGGGGGTGGGCTATCTGGCCCCCACATTTGTATAAGTTTAAGACCCTGCTTTATACAGTGTTTTCTTCTTCTTTTAACTGCATGGTATGTATTGCCCCAGGGGAAATCGGAGGCGCCTCAGTTATTTTCGGAAATGGCGGCGAAAATTGGATAAAGTCAAGTAACTTTAGTGTTAAAAAAAGCACAATTTAGTGATACAAATTTAAGAAGACCAAATTTGGAGAGTGTACTTTGAAGTCGGGACTTGTACTTTCCTCGGAAAGAACCAGAAAAAAAAGAGTACCTTAAGTATAGTACAAGTACTTCAAGTAAAGTGCAAGTATTCCAAACTTCCTTGAAGCGGTACTTTGAGTACAATATACCTAAAGTATTTCTTAACACTGGAAAATGAGCTTCGAACATGCGGGAAGTGTGTCCGCAGAAAATTACGTCACCATGTCTGCAGTGAACGCCGTGTATTTTGTGTGATGTATGACCAGTGAGTGTCTGCGTCTTCATTATACACTGACTCTCCCCGTGCAACTAGGGACAGGATATGTAGAGCGTGCTATAAATAGATCGTACTCACTCTGTGTGACAGTTGAACGCGTCGCAGCCACTAGTAGGTTTCATGTTGCAGTGCTTGATGACGTCAGGTATGTCGAAGGCCAACGAGGACAGGTTTTTGTGTTCCCGGATGGCTTCTATGATCGTGGTCGGCTTGAAAGATGCACGAAGAGAAATTGCACTCGCTGCCACTCCTAACAAGTTTTTTTTTTCTTGAGCGCAGCTCTTAGGCGCCCTTTTTCGGCTTGAGCGGCGTCGCCGTCAGCGTAACCGCGTGTTGCATTATGGGACGTTTCTCATAATGGCCTAGCACATGACATCACGTGTGATGTCACGAGGGCAAAATTTTCCCGCTAAATTTAGAGGGAAATCTTTTCACTAAATATAGCGGGAAAACTTTCCCGCTAAATTTTGCGGAAAATTTTTTGCCGCTAAGTTCAGCGCAAAAATTTTGCTCTGGTGACGTCACACGTGGCGCCACTCAACCCGGGAATATTTTTCCGCGATATTTTCTCGCTAAATTTAGCAGAAACTTTTCCCGCCAAATTTAGCGGAACCATTTTACCCTCGTGACGCCGCACGTCTGACACCACACGTGACCCTCCCCTCCTCCTCCTCAAGACCTGCGCTCTAATTCCATTACAGAGAATTGTAAACGTCTTTCATTTTTTTTTTGTATATTAGGGGGGAATTTGAGAACGTTCTCCGACGCCGTATAATTGCATAACGGAACATCTGCAAAACATTCATTGTCAGTCTGCTGCAGCAAGCGTAAAAGAATATTACAGAAATCGCGGGCCTCCAAACGCAGCCGACGCTACGAGCTGATGGACCAATCAAACAGCGTCAAAAGCGCGCCATCATGGCGTTCGCCATGTTTCTGTACGTGTTCCATCATGGCGGAACCGATACTAAACGGAAAAAGGCCCAATGACTTTCGCTTTTGACGGTGCTTGATTGGTCTCATTACCTCGTATACCGCCAGCCGCTTCTGCACTTGAGCTGAAACAAAGTATAGTCATATTCAAGGTACTCGAGCACACTAGTGTTCCTGATGGCCGCCCCGAAGTGGTGGCGCTGGCTGCGATGCGCAGATGCTTTATCTATTAAAAAGCCGGTTTTTCATGCCCATGTTTGCAGTTTTTTTTTTGCGCAGTGTGAAAAGCTGGGGTGCAGCCATGTACTATCCGTTTACGAACAAGAGCCTGTTTTTCCACACTCGGTGTTAGTAGCGCGTATGCGTAGACACTGACTTTCCGAGACGTGAAGGGCCTGCGCGTGCGCGCCGCCGTGGCGTCAGCAAATTTATGTCACAAGCTTGCGTTGGACATCAGCGTTTAAACATGGTAGCCTTAGATTGGCAGAACGACCAAACATGCAGCCAATTATTTGGAAAAGGACCGTACTGAAGTGTCGTTCGTGGCGCAGAGCTCCTTCAGCTTGTCATCTGCACACAATTTCTTCTTGTCAATCCTAAAAAAACAAAAAAAAAAGATGAAATTAGGTGACATTGACAAAATTATCGTTCACATCAAGCGGATTAAACTTAACACCTAAAAATTAAAAACAACGCAAAAAAAAAAAAAAACGAGGATTAGACGAAAAAGTTACACGGACGCCCAGCGCTGTTAATACACTAGTTTAATATGACGGACACTGCTATGAGGGCTGGAACATGTATCCGACATTCCATGTTTCACAAAACGGAAAATGTGGAAAACGTTACGTGATTCTACAGCCTATATAATTATTTTTGTTGAAACTGGGCCCATGGATTTTGTGCACTGGAACATCTGTCATGTTATTGTGTATGAAAAGTTAATGTAGGACTTGCCAGTTCTTTATGCAAACTGTGAAGGCGGGAAAGACCAGGTCCTTCATCGACTCTACCCTGATGTTGGTGGTGGTTGGGAACTTGAAGTACATGATAAAGAAGTCGGTGGCCTGGTACGTGAAGCCGGCCACGCAGGCCACGGTGATCAGCAGACGAATCAGGAACAAAGGGTCGAGGAGCCTGGAACGCGGCAGATCGAAAATGCCGAGGAAAAAAAGATGCTGCGTTTTTTGCATTTGGATTAATGATTTTATTTATAAAATGTGGGAGTAAAAATGCAAAAAATACACAATATAAATTTAGTGGACACATACATATTGGGGTTCGTCTTTCTAAACAAATAAAATTAGACAGATGTTATGCACATATTGAGATCTTTGGAACAAAATATTAATCCTTGATACAGCAAAATTCGCCATATAACGAACCCTCCAACCCTTCAGTACGCGTTCGTTATACGAACATGATAGATCAGGATAGTGAGGAATATGACATGACGAAGTAAGGTTGAAGGCAGCCACGGTAGCCAGGGGGGGGGTGGGGGGGGGGGGGGGCAAGCGGCCTCCCCCCCCCCCCCCCCGAAATCTTCTACTCTGATGAGACCTCCTCCGCCACCCCCCCCCCCCCCCCCCCCCCCCGAAACAAAATCGTGCCTGGTTGAAGGAATTATTTTAATGTATTAATTAATTTGTGGATATTTCTAATATGGCTTTGCAATTAACTGCAATATTTTTATTAGAATATTGAATTATCCTTTTCACGCAGTAATAACGGGGAGGTAAGGACATCTCGGTGTTCTTTATTTGTGCATTTGCTGCGCACACGGATAGCTTTTGAAACGTACATTATGTTTCAGTGGCTACCAGAACAAAAACAACATCGCACAGAAGGAAACACAATCAAGGGGCTGATGGGGACAATCGCACAAGCGTTAGCAGCAGTTTTTTAAAGTTATATCTATTTCAAGTGAGTTAAAATCTTTGTGTGAACTAACACCGGTAGAAAAAAAAATGAAAGCCGTTTACAATTCCCTGTAACGCCGGTTAGAGCGCAGCTCTTGAGGAGGAAGATGGAAGCGTACTGAGGGACAGGTGACTCCTTGAGGTCACGTGACCAGGGGGTCACGTGAGCTCAGGGGGTCACGTGACCTAAGGGGTCACGTGACCTCATGTGGTCACGTGACCTTCGGGGGTCACCTGACCATAGGGGGGTCACGTGACCTCAAGGGGTCACGTCCTAAGGGGGTCATGTGACCTCGGGGGTCACGTGACCTAGGGGTGTCACGTGACCTGGGTGGGTCACGTGACCTCGGGGGGTCACGTGACCTCGCGGTTACGCCGACGGCGACGGCGACGCCGACGCCGTTTAAGCCGGAAACGGGCCACTAAGAGCTGTGCTCTAAAACTGACTGAGTTGCAGCTGTAGGCCTACACATAGCTCTTGTTACATATATTCTGCGCGCATCTACACCAGATAAGTTATGCAAATTTACCCTTAAAGGATGGGCGTCATAAATGCTTATTTTGAGTACTTGATCACACTATGTACGCTACACTTACTTCGCTTTGATTTTCCTTGTCAACGAAGTTCTTTTTCCCGGTGGGCTGAGCCTGGTAATTATGAGGTTCTGATGCTGGCTGAACGACTTGCTGAGTATCGGTTTGATCGTGTCCAAGGACCTAGAGTTGTGCCTGAGAGCAGAAGGCAGTAGTTAAAAACGGGAGCGGTTTTATTGAGGAATCTTGAAATGACGAGAACACATTTGTCATCGCACTTCAACCATCAATAGACCCATTTGAAAAGTCACATAGTGATTGTTATTGCCCCACCCCCCCTCGAATCCCGGAGAAAAGCTCACCGGAGAAAAGCTCACCGGAGATAAGCTCACCGAAGAAAAGCTCACCGCAAAACCGGCGGATGCGGAGAAAAGCTTACCGGCCATTGAGCGTATGCGGAAAAAAGCTGACCGATTTTTTCCGTTTTTTTATAGATGAAAGCTGTTGGATCATGCATAACATATATCCAATTTATTATCATTAACATTCGCCAACTTTGTAAAAAAGAAAATGTCCTTTTTATGAATAGCTGTTAAGCTTATTCAGTATGTTGCTCCCAAATTTATAATTGCCGGCGAGTTTCTTTTTTTTTTTTTTTTTTTTTTTACTCTCTAGGCAACAAAATCCTAACTAAAAACTTTATGAACTTGAAGAACAGGAAAAAGTTCGAAAACTTAATAATATCTGCCTAAAACCTAAAAATCAAAACTGTAATTGCCAAAGATCCGGAAGTGGATGCGCAACAACGCGATGCCTGATATTCTCTTTGAAGCTTTTGTTAACCTTTGAAAACAGAAGAAAACAATAAGTAGGATATCGAGGTTTTTTTCTTACACGGACATGCACGTTTCCTAGCCATTCGTGCTGGTGTTTCCACACGTTGCCTTTGTGTGATAAAGTGCCTTTCTACAGCGAGCTACCCATGACCTTCAGAGCTGCACATTGGCACCGTTGTTACTCGTGACCTATATAAGAACTAGTCTTCTGTAAGGTAGCGAGTTGTTAAACGTTATAGAAGACGGAGTGAAGACAACAAATACAACCAGGACGAGGCTGTTCTTTCAACTAAAGTATAATTAGTGAAACTAACAGAAAGAAAACAGCGTAGCCGACACTGATTACATCAACAAGCACATTATCTATCAGGCACAACACAATCTTTGTAGCTGATGTGGTTCACCACACCGCTATTCATATTAGCTCGCAAAGAACAAACCTCTTTATTTGCCAACTACAAACGGCGCACTGTCAGCTGTCGATTAATTGTTGTGCATCTTACCGTGTCCGATGCTCCGATTTTATACTTGCGGCTTCATTAATCTACAGAATGGGTGATTGCTAGTTTCAGAGGAATTAGTAAATATGCGCAATGAACTTCAAGAATATTACAAAAAAGATGACATATTTTTAATGAAGTGACTGTTAAATTGCCACGTGTGACGCAGAATTCGCTAAGCTAAGAAAACAATCTTAAAAATCGTTGAGCTCTTCTTCGCATTCGCTCAAAGGCCGGTGAGCTTTTCTCCGCATCTGCCGGTTTTGCGGTGGGCTTTTGTCCGGTGAGATTTTTTCCGGTGAGCTTTACTCCGGTGAGCTTTTCTCCGCCGCCCCCAGCCCCCAGCCACAGCACTGATTGCAGACATGGTACCCTTGTTAGTAAAAGTTTCGTTTTACTTCAGCGTATCTAACACAGTCGACAAAAGAACACGTTTGTGAATAACCACATTTTTGTTTTTGCTTCTATACTTCTCGGGGGAAAATATTGATAAGTTGATTTAGCTTTCAAGAATTCCGAACTGCGACACTTCTTCACATTCTCCTCTCCTTCGGTGCTGACAAAATAAAATCAAGCGCTAGAAGTGTCGCTGTACATGGTGTTTTTCTAATGGACTGTTTAGTGGGTGGCCAAAGTAAAAAAAAACAACATCGGTCTATAGTTACGGCACCTTTGATGGTAATCATATCCGTAACTTGCGATTTCATAAACTAGGTCTCCAAAGGGGAAAAAAAAGTTATATGAACATGTGCAACAAACAAACAAGAAGGCATAAGATGGCCTAATGACTTGTATACGCCATATACAATTTGTAGAAGTACTGTTACGCTTATTGGACAACTCATACAAGAATAGCGTTCGCATTTTCGAAAAATTATTTACCTGCTCCAAGTACGGTACATCGCAGTCGGTCGACTGGCCGCATAGTTCGGTGGGCTGGTTGACCTGTATAGATCGAATAAAACTTGATAATGGCGCGACCACAATTCACACAATTCCGACTAATAAGACGACATTTGTCGTTTATAAAACCCAAGAGTAGGGGGTTCATGTTGTTTCTTCCTGCCTCAGCGCAGCTCTAGCCCATTCGAGCTGTGGAACAAATGACGTGAAGATACAGAAGACAGACTACTGACAGTCTGAGGCGTCTCTCTTCTTTGTATGACGGCCTTATCAGATTGGTCACAGAAGACCTGTCTGCAACCTGCGCATGTATGAAGAAAACATGCAACGTGCAGGCTTGACGCGCAGATAATCCTCTTATCATTTATGTCCTCAACGAACACCGAGTCGTTCGTATGATGTAGGAACAGTGTGGCTACGGCTTTAGTGAAGAAAAAAAAATGTGCACCAGAACAAACCTATGATTGTTCTGGCTTAGTGGCATGCGCAGCACGGATGCGCAGTGGGGATATCGGCTAATCCCTGTGGCTGCCCTCGTTCGCTGTGCCAGGAACGGTTATACAAATAACGCGGTGACTTAGAAACGCTGCAATATACCGCGTTCTCTCACCTGCGCTGGCTACCGTACATCGTGATTATCCGGATGTCAGTCTTTGGTTCCGAAGACTCCGCAGGTCCGCGGATACGTGGCAATCCGGGTTAGGAACTCGACGTGGACAACACGGGCTCGAAAGCTTTCACCCCGAAAATCGATATAAACATTTTGCCGAGGGGCGTTTCTGCTTATTATTTGCTTTGTCTATCGGCATGAGTGAGAATACGGGACGGATGCGACGGGTCGCGTGAACTATGGTGTCCTGGCACGCCATGTTTAGGTCAATAATTTATGCGGTGTTGAATTTCTCCTCCCACGCTCACCGCATGCCGAGAAAGGCGTAACATTTCCACTCTATGTGTGTCACCATAGTAATGTTCGCCTAACGACGCGGGCACGTTTAATAGGACACTTCAGCGAATGAGCGATTGAGGGGATGCCTTTTAAAGCGTGTAGCAAAGCGAGTATTTGAACACGTAATGTGCTTTCCTACAAGTCTGAAGAAAAAAAAAGTTTGAAGTTACTTTAAGTTTAACTGTGGAATATATTTTAGCTATTTTCTTTTTCTGGTCAAAAATGGAAGCCTAAGACAGTGATATTTCCATATAACAGCTAACAGGGTGACCATAGGCTATTTGCTAGCATTTGCCAGTGCCATGAGTAGCAGGCGTCGAGAGAACCCATAAAGGAACATAAGCTTTGTACCACTGCTATGGTGCCTGGAGCGCGTCTTCGACTTGTATGTTTAGCGTCCTATCCCGCCCATACATCAAAAGTGGTCCCAAAGTGGCTACAAATGACGTCACAGAAGCCGAAGTGTCATGCTAGGGAGGCTCAAGTGAGGGTGGGTGCAACTCCTAGATCGGCGATCACGGGACATGGACGCCATTTAATTGCTAAATTTTG